CCCTGTCTCAAAAAAAAAAAAAAAATAGGGCTAGAGATGTAGCTCAGTGGTAGAATGTTGCCCTGGTACTGAAAAAAAAAATTATGGATGAGAGATCCATATGTGGGAGACCTTGCTAATCTTTTTAGGGAAATATCCCAGGAATTCCAGGAAACAAGTACACCTGCCCCTTTGATATTGCTAAAAGGTCACTGTGAGAGATGGAAGATGTGGCTTTTTGGACTATGGAATACCTAAGTTAGCAGTTCTCATTTTTAAAAATAGATAAGCTTCCTAAAGAGAAGGTGTGTCCGGGTCATCACTCCACAAGCTAGTACTGTAACTAGCATACAGATGGTGTTTCACAGAAAAATGAATTAAAATACACTCGAGTCCATTGTGCCATGTTGTCTGTGTACCTTGGGGAGCCAGCTGGTTTCTAGAGCAGTGCCTTTGGGGAAACACTCTGTACCCCCTACATCTGATTTTACCAGGTACCCTCCTCTACTCCAGAGATGAAAGTCTTTGGAGAGATATTGATTTACCACATTCCCATCAGACTGCATACAAACCAAAAGACCTGTTTGCTTCATTCCCTCTTTAGATTTCTCACTTCTCTACTATTGTTCTCTTTTTTTTAATTTAAAATACTTTTATTTTATTTACTTATTTTTATGTGGTGCTGAGGATGGAACCCAGGGCCTCACACATGCAAGGAGAGCGCTCTGCCGATGAGCCACAGCCCCAGTCCCTATTGTTCCCTCTTAACTCCTTTACATCTGCCTTAAAAATATTTGCCCCTGGGGAAAATCAGCTACAATACCTTTGACATTCTCCATCTAAGTTCACATCCAGTCCCCCTCTCTTCCCCACACCATGCACCAAGCCAGGCATCAAGTATCATGGAAATCTAATTCAAAGATGTTATAACAGAAGGACAAGTAATTTGAAAGTTGGCCTGCCCTCTGATTTGCTTTAGACACAGGACACAAGGCTCCAGAGCTTATATTCCAGAGCTTATATTCAGCTTATATTTATATTATCTATGTAAAGGTTTTTTTTTTTAAATAGATACCTACAAAGTGCCACTACAGATTTCTTATTCAATTGTGTGCATGTGTGCCTTGGTAAAGAAATTTTCCCCCTCCCTATAACTCCATCTTCTTCACCCTAGTAGCTTTAAGTTGTGTTTTGCTTTCTCCAAAGTTCCCCAACCACCCAGTAAGATACTAGATGACTCTCTCAAGACTCATAGCCCATTGTTTTATATTAACTTGTAAAGACATTTATAATTCCTCCTAAACCATTTTTTAAAATATTTATTTTTTTAGTTTTAGGAGGACACAATATCTTTATTTTTATGTGGTGCTAAGAATAGAACCCAGTGCCTCACGCATACCAGGCGAGCACACTACCACTTGAGCCACATCCCCAGCCCCCTCCTAAACCATTTTATATATGTTTGTCCTTTCTCTCCAGCTCAGGACCTATAAGTTCTGGTATCACTTGTCAGCAACTAGTATAAGCACTGAATCCAGCAAGGCTGACTTGATGTCATTTGGTTAAGTATTTGATGGTTTCTCTGATTAGTATTTCTGATCACTCTTGGAATTTGAGGCTAAAAACCTTGTAAACTGAAAGGAGGAAAGGCTCCAGGTTTTGTGAGGCCTGATGCTGCTGCTTTTTCCTCTTCCTTTTTTCATGTGTGTGTGTTGCTGGGAACTGAACCCAGGGTGTTGCTCATGCTAGGCAAGTGCTCTGCCTTTGGGCTACACCTCCTGCCTTTCTTCTTTAAAAATAATTAATTAAATAAATAAATAATCAATCAATCATCTTGGAGTTCCTCTTTGAGTAAAAGAGTAAGCAAATTATAAACATACAATTAGATACAGGACCCTGGAAGAGGTCTGTGAAGGTGAGGGGTTCTGACTCTGCATTTCATTAGCTTCTTTTAAATCAGCTTCTGGCTGAGACAGTGAAGCCTGGTTATATCCTGGCCAACTCTCCAGCCCTTACTGAATTAGGTGTCTATTCCTGGCTTTTCCTGTGAATTTCCTGTATCCAACACATCTATTCCACAAGATGGCTCTGGTTTAACAAAATGGCCTTGACAACCAAGTCTCTCTATCTAAGGAAAAAGTCCCAAAGGGCTGGATTGACATTCCTCCCACTTAGAAACTTGGTGGCCCTTAGAATAGTGCTCCTTTTAGAGCAGGTGGGTTCTCTTGCTGCTCACTGTGCAGGGTGAGGAAATTGTACCCAATTCTGGAAGCCCCTAATGGCTCAATGCCTAAAGGTTGTGTTGTGCCACAAAAGGGCTTGGAATGTTCCAGTACATTCTACCAGTGACCTCTGTGGCTCCTGTTTCCATTCAGTTTTGGCAAAAGCGGCATAGTCTACAGAGTAGCTGGTATTCTGCTGGGATAGGAAACAGCATGGCCTTGCTTCTTCTATGCTACTCTGATAATATCATACAAGTAGGCACCTTCCCTGGAAGTCCCACCCAAAAGCTCCATCCAGCTCTCTGGCCTCCTGAGAGTTGGTGTAGAATGTCGAGTCAGGGCTGCCATACCAAATGGCAGTTTCTTGACCTTAAACACCCAGTTCAGAATTCTTCCCAAAGAGATGAGAAATCCTGGGATTCCTTAACCGGTGGTGTGTCTGCATTCCTCAGAAAGCCCAAGAGGCCTTCATCACCTGTGGAGATAGTAAGTAACACCAGGATTCCAAGAAAAAAGCAACCTAACCACAATATTATAGGCCATGTGCCCATACTGCATAGCTTATTAGAAAGCTTCCACTTACTGGGCTCTTACTATAGGCTAAGCAATTTGCATACATTATCTCATTTAACTACCCTCCTATTTTCATGACTACTTTATACAGGTGAGGAACCTGAGACACAAAAGAAGTTAGGAAATGTGTTGAAAGTGACAGCTGGAAGTGACAGGTCCGCCTGCTTTCAAAGCCTATGTGCAACACTCACTTTGGCAGTACATATCCTAAAATTAGACTTATAAGAGAAGATTAGCATGGTCCCTATGCAAGGATGACATGCCAATTTGTGAAGAGTTCTCTATTTTTTTTTTTGTAAAGGATATGTACATAATTGCTACTAGAGGTCTCAGGTCCTGGGTCAGAGGGATCCAGACCTAGAGGTCCCTTTCTGAATCCAAAGGTTGAAGGTCAGAGTTAGGAATACAGACCAGACCAGTCACACCATAACCCCATTTCCCCTATCTCCCTCAGCCTTAAACTTCCTAAAACTCTGATTTTGTTTATACTGCTCAAATTATGGAGGTGGGTTGGGGGCATCTAGCTGCCTCTGGCATAGGAGTTGAAATCTGTGGAAACATTATTGTGTCTGCCTCCCATGGCTAGCCTAGGACCAAATACACACCTACCTTGAGCTTCCAACCTTGTGGAATAAGAGAAGGATGGGGGAGGGGTGCAGGGGAATGGGGAGAAATCAGAAAAAAGACAAAAAGAGGTGGTGCTGCCCTTTGAAAAAGCCTGCAAGAGCTAGGAAGCCAGGATTCTTAAGAAATAGCCAGTAGTAGTGTGCCAGGGCAAATGAGAAAGTTCTTTGTAGGGTAAAAGAAAAGCCACTAGAGGAGGCCCTAGGGGAAACCTGACAGAAAAGGGTGGGAGAAGAGGTAAGAATCTATCAAGGACTGGAGGTGTGTTTTAATTCTGAAGCTACAAACAAACAAACAAAAGACTCATCCTTGACAGTCTCCCCTCCCACTGGAGTGGGGCAGCCAAGCCAGGGGAGCTCTGCCGGACTTTGCCTCAGCGCCAGGATACTGGCTGTATCACTTGCCCAGCCCACCAGAATGCTGTTGGGAAGAGTGCCTGGCCACAATGCTTGGTTGATAAGTCATGGGCACCCCTGTCTGCTACCCATTCTCTTTTCTCCCTGCTTTTAGTTTGCAGCCTCTACCTGGCAGGGAGCCTCAGAGTAGCGGGTTGGGGAGCAGAGTCCTCCAGATGGTATTTAATACTCAGTGATTTATGGGTGCTGGAAAGGGCAGAGTGGAAAGCCAGAAAGAGGAAGGCCCAAGACTAGTTTCCATGAAGCACCAGCACCTCATTGACAAGAGTTGAGGTACCTATTTCCTTGATGCCTGTGCCTCAGCTTTCAGACTGAGTACAGACTTCACCGTTCCCAGGGCCCAAGATTCTGGTACTATTTTGTATCAGACCAGTGGAACTGGCTGGAATAAGGTTAATGAACACATGTCCAAATCCTTAACCTTTTCTTTAAGCTCCAGATTACTAGGAGAGGGAAGAAATAAGTGAGGTTGAGCAGTTCCATAGCTACTGTTTTTGGAGGATTTATTTTTTTTAATGCATTAAAAAAATTCTTGTACACAAGAATTCTTTTGAACCCTCCATGGCTCCAAGAAAAACTGTTTGAAATGTCCTTTCTTATGGGGCCAGGGGGTTAAGTGCCAGGGATGGAAGGCTAAATGCCAGGGATGCTGGTTGCAGGGATGCTTGGGACCGAGGCTAATGGCCTCCCTGCTGTGGGCTCAGGAATACCAGGCCCAGGCACTGGTTGCCCTGAGAGATGCAGCCATTTTTACTTCTGATTGAAGGGCACCACCTTCTGGGATTTTCCCTTCTGTTGTGGGAAACAGTAGAATATACCCAAGGGTCCAACAGATTCTGTGCCCAAGAGTGCAGAGGGCAGGGAAGGAGAGAACACTGAGACATTGGGGTAGGGTGAGACCAGTTAGTGATTTATACTGTTTAGAATTTGGTCCCTGCTGGTGGAAAGAAGATGCATTTTGTGAGAACCCCTGGTAATTGCCCCTCATGAGGATGATCTCAAAAGGTCAAGGGATGGGCCTTGAATAGCCCTAATGTCCCTGAAACAGTCCATTGTGTAGCTATTGTCTATACATGTAAAGGAACTCTTCTTGACCCTATTCATACTTTCTTTTCTCTCTCTCTCTCTCTCTTTTTGCCTCTGGGGTTTCTCAAGCAAATAATTGCATACTACCTTATCCCTAGATCTAAGACTATCTTCTTTAAGATTCAACAACAAAAAATCCAACACATATTTCTTAAGTTCCTACTATATGCCAGACATCATGCTAGGTTTCGGGGATATGCAGATGAATGGCACATGGTCCCCTCTCTGGACAGCATACAGTCTGGTTTTCAAAAAAATTTCCTTAGCAATGACCTTTGGAAAACAAATCGGGGCCTATCTCCTTTCTATGTTATACACCTGGATCATGACCTCAGGCTCCATCTTTCACATTCCTTTAAAATGTGCTCATGTGGTAATATGCACTTTGATTATTTTGGATTGACTTTTCCTGGACTCTGATGTGTCTTCCTTAGGTATAATAACAAGAATTAGACACTATATTTCATATGCAAGTATCATATGAATGTGTGTACCACTGTGTTAGCTTTCTTTATCCACTTGCCATTCATTCATACACCCAATAGTTATTACATGCCTACTAAGTGTCATGCACTCTACTAGGGTTTAGGAATGCAATATAGGTAAAATGGACACTGCTCTCCTTGAGCCTACAGTCTGGGGTACATATGGGAGGAAACAGAAGGCAAAGAATCCATATACCACAAATAAATATAAAACTATAAACTGGGACAAGTGCTAAGAAGAAAAGTACAGAGTGCTATAAGAGTGTGCAAAAGGGAACTCCTATCTAATCTGGGAGGCTCAGGGAAGGGTTTCCAAGGAAATGGCATTTAAGCCGAGATCTGAAAGAATTGTTGAAATAGGTAAAGATGAGTATGGGGAAAAACACTTAAGGCAGAGTAAAGGGTATGTGCAAAGGTCCTGAGATAGAAGAAACCAGAGCATCCCTAAGAACTGCAGGAGGTAAAGTGAGACTGCATCATAGAGAATGAGGCAGAGGGTCACATGAGTCAGGCCCGCCTGGAAGGTTAGTCAGAAGATTGACCAAGAAGGTCTTCAGTCTTTATCCCACCGTGGATAGGCATATAAAAAGAAAGTCAGCCCATGATGACTTTTCCCCAGATTACTAATGTAGTTCACACTTGTATTGAAGGAACAATACTGATGGTCTGAACTGCTAGGAACTTTCCCAGTGTCCTGCATGGTGTTGCTATGCCTGATTGGCACTGAGGAGGCCCCCAAACTGATGGATAAAAACCAGCCTACAGTCTTCAGGCAAGGTATGTGCTCTGCCAATGTGGACATAGGGGCAGGGTGGAGTTCTCTGTATCAGCTCCACAGTGATGTTTGGAACAACCCCAACACTATAGGCCTTGTTCCTAGATAACTCTATCATATGCACCCCCCTCTTACATGGTCTGCTTGCCCTACCTCCCCTCCTACAGTAGCTGTGCTCTCCACCCAATCTGGAGAAGGTTTTTGGATAAGAACTCTGACTCTGCCGAGGCTTGGATCTTGACCTGGTAAGTTGAAGCCTCAGTACTATTGGGAAGCATGTATGCATACATAGCCTTAATAGTTTTCCAGAGGTATTAATGGAAACCATGGGAAAAGAGGGCTGGAATGGTCAGACCAGGCCTTTCTGAAGCCCTTTCTTTCATCCCAGATATTATTTGGAGAATGTGGCTTGGTGCAGTGACATCTGCTGGCAAGACTGGGCAGGTGATAAAATGACCAGATGCCTACTCATTCTCATGTTTTTTCCAGACCAACAAAAATATCTTTGTTAACCCCTGAGATTGAGTTGGGCTCAGCAACTTCAGTTAGAGAAAGGCTGAGGAATCCAAGATTGTGGATATCAACCATGTATGAGCTAGTCTGCACTGAGCAGAGAAAATGTTTTTTCCTGGTTGTAGCTTGCACCTCTCATGTTGGCCAGTTGATTCACATTTGGGTATAGTTAGTCACAAGAGAGTTTGGGTAAACATGTATAAATGACTCAGGGAAACCCATTCCTAGGAAAGCATCTTTCAACAATTTAAAAAACTCATATTTTACAAATGGCAGAATGCAAGGTCACTTTTCATCCTCCTGAAGTTGATTAGTTTGGGAAATTTTTTAGTTTCTTACAGAAAAATGGTGTCTATAGAACCATCTTCATGGTTCTTATGGTGGTTAAGAGTGACTATGGCTTTTAAAGTGGTCCCTCAATACTTTCTGGGGTAGGGTATAAACTGCCTCCTGTTTTTATCAATGTCATCTATACAGTATGTTCAAAATTTCACTCTTCTTCAATAGCATGTTTTCTCACCCATACAGTACCAAGGCCTTGCACAGGCTAGGCAAGTGCTCTGCCACTAAGCTACAGCCCAAGTACTTTTTATTTACTTATTTATTTTTTGATACCATGGATTGAACCTAGGGGCGCTTTACCACTAAGCCACATCCCCAGCCCTTTATTTATTTTTTATTTTGAGATAGGGCCTCACTAATTTGCTGTGGCTGGCCCCCAACTCATGGTTCTCCGGCCTCAGCCTCCTGAGTTGCTGGGATTACAGATGTGCACCACCTTGATAGGCTTCTGAGTTCTTAATAACTGACTCTGTAACTGAATATGGCTCAGATAAAGCATCTCTCTTTCTCAAACTTAAAAGAAAATCATCAAGACTCCATCAGAGAAATTAGTAATGTGTAGATGTTCACAGAAAAGAAAAGAAAATACACACACAGAAGACTGGGGTATATCCTCACTAGAAATAAAACCAGAAGCACAAGTGAGGGCAGTTTTCATTTTCAATAAAAACTGCAGAAATTTCAAAAGTAGCTAATATTTAGTTCTGGAAACAATGTCTTAAGTTAGCAGTTTTGCACTCGTGATGATGTAAATTTGTTCAAGGTTTTTTTTTTTGGGGGGGGGGAGAAATAAAGCAATAGATCAAGGGCAGAAATAAAGATAGAAGAGAGCTATAGATGCCTGCAGATACTGACTGCAGCATTATCTGACATGAAAGACCCACAAGCCCACAACGGGAATGAGAGCACTTTATATCACAGTACTATGGCCAAAGTCACAAAGCTATTACAGTTACAATCGTGAAGATTACAGTAGAAAATGTTAAGAGTATGCCAAAAATATGAAATCTCATGTAAACAATACATAAAAATGTGCATAAATAATAAA